ACCATTATCTTTTTGCATGAAATGTCAAGTATGCCCAATGTGAATGTGCATGTGAGTGGGCGCCAAGTCACTATGTTCCTATGGCATTTATTTTGCACAAAAAATATGTGCCCCCCCAATTGTAGTAAATGCCTGGCCCACTTTGGCAGGGATTTATGGCACTGATGCACTGCACCCATTGGTCTCATTGGTGAGTCCTAACCTGTGCAATTATTTTGCGCTCTACAGGCGCAATTATTTTGAGCTCCACAAGGGGCACAATTATTTGCACTCTATGGGGGGTGCAATTATTTTGTGCTGTAGAGACACAAATATTTCAAGCTCCACAAGGGGCGCAATTCTTTTGTGCTCCAGGGAAGCACAATTATTCGAGCTCTACAGAGGGCACAAGGCGCAATTCTTTTGCGCTCTATGGGGGAGCAATTATTTTGCACTCTATGTGGCGCAATTCTTTTGTGCTCTAGCAATTCTTTTGTGCTCCAGGGAAGCACAATTATTTTGAGCTCTACAGAGGGCACGAGGCGCAATTCTTTTGCGCTCCAGGGCGCAATTACTTGCACTCTATGGGGGAGCAATTATTTTGCACTCTATGGGGTGCAATTATTTTGTGCTCTAGCAATTCTTTTGTGCTCCAGGGAAGCACAATTATTTCAAGCTCTACAGAGGGCACAAGGCGCAATTCTTTTGCGCTCCAGGGCACAATTACTTGCGCTCTATGGGGGAGCAATTATTTTGCGCTCTATGGCGCGCAATTATTTTGTGCTCTATGGCGCGCAATTATTTTGTGCTCTAGAGGTGCAATTATTTCAAGCTCCATGAGAGGCGCAATTCTTTTGCGCTCCACATAATATCAGAGTGTGCCCAATGTGAATGCACACGAAATGTCAGAGTGTGCCCAATGTGAATGTGCACCAAATGAAATATGAGCCCAATGTGAAGGTGCACCAAATGTGAGTGGGTGCAAAGTCAGTATATACCTGCAACAAGTGTGCATCTGCACTTGTTGTTTTTCAGTATGTATTTGGAGAGTGCCCAATGGGAATGTGCACCAAATGTCAGAGTGCACCCATCAGAGTGCACCCATCAGAGTGCGCCCATCAGAATGTGCCCATCAGAGTGCGCTCAATGTGTTCTATTCTGACTTTCTAAGGTGTCCAGACATGGGTAGGTGATGATACCTCTCATGCTCTCTCCTATTTCGCATTTTTCTCTGCCATCCCATTCTCCTCCCATTTCCAAAACATTTTATGGTCCTATCCTGACTTTATAAGGTGTCCAGACATGGGTAGGTGATGATACTCCCCATACTCTCTCATATTTCGCATTTTTTACTGCCTTCCCATTCTCCCCCACCCTCCAGGTCACTCCCAAATCACATTGGTGCCTCCCAAATGCCCCATATTTCACTCTCTTGGATGGTACAGGATATAGGCTGGGCTCTGGGCTCCAGAAGTACACTTCCTGGTTTAATCTACAGGAATTGAAGATGGAATTCCTGGAATGGTGGATGGATTTCATGAATTTTCAGGATGTATTCCATAGATTTGCAAGATGGCTCTCAGCCAGTAACCTACAGCTACTTTTATCCAATATATAGTTATCTTTCTCTGTAACTTTTGGCTGAGCCTTAAGAAACGAAGAAGAGCACTGCAAAGCTCTGGACAATAATCAACGCAACATGCTTGACAGAAAAATCACACTTGTGAGAGTGTGACAGCCTAGACAAAACAGCTGAGTATTGAATTCGGTTGGCCACAGACAACCGTTGCTCTAAAAAATGGTATCAGTAGATGCTGAATTGCGTCTAAATTATGATTCCAGCTTGTTTGAGCATCCAAGCTTCTTCCCCCATGTTTTGTAGCATGAACTTGTAGAATTATCGGAATGTTTGCCTTTGTTTGCTTGGCCCTTCCAACATCTTTCAAGTCTTTTGCTGCCATAAAATATTTACACAACTACTGGTGCTTTTCTAATAGGTATAGATCGATAGAGGACATTTATACAATTCTAATGATACTAAATTTGTACATTCAAGCTTCTTCCCCCACCCCCTGAGCTGGAAAATATACCGGACATGGCCAAACTTTGACAAAGTCCAAACATCATTTGGCGCAAAAAAATTGTTTCAGTGGGGCACATGATGTCATTCAGCAGGGCAGCTACAAACTACTTTGGTCCACGCATTTACTACAATTGGGGGGGCACATATTTTTTGTGCAAAATAAATGCCATAGGAATATAGTGACTTGGCACCCACTCACATGCACATTCACATTGGGCGCACTCGACATTTCATGCAAAAGAATAATGGGTGGAAATACACACTGAAAAATAACAGGTGCAGATACATACTTAGTGCACACATTTGATGTGCATTCACATTGGGCGCACTCTGACATGACATTTCGTGCCCATTTCACGTTGGGCGCACTCTGACATTGAAACAATGCTGGACACAGGCTATTTGTGACCCTATCAAAGCACAAGGTACATACAGTGGCACTTGAAAGAATTGTGCCCCCTGTGGAGTGCAAAAGAATTGCGCCCCCTGTGGAGTGCAAAAGAATTGCATCCCTTATGGAGCTCAAAATAATTGTCCCCCCCATGGAATACAGATAATTTCGCCCCTTGTGGAGCTCGAGATAATTGCACCCCCTGTAGAGCTCAGAATAATTGCGCCCCCATAAAGCGGAAGTAATTGCGCCCTGGAGCACAAATAATTGCACCCTGGAGCACAATAGAATTGCACCCCCCATGGAGCGCAAAAGAATTGCGTCTCTCATGGAGCTTGAAATAATTGCACCTCTAGAGCACAAAAGTAATTGCACCCTGGAGCACAAATAATTGCGCTCTGGAGTGCAAAAGAATTGTGCCTCTCATATTGCGCCCTGGAGCACAAATAATTGCACCCTGGAGCGCAAAAGAATTGCGCCTCTCATGGAGCTTGAAATAATTGCACCTCTAGAGCGCAAACTAATTGCGCCCCCATAGAGTGCAAGTAATTGCGCCCTGGAGCACAAATAATTGCGCCTCTCATGGAGCTTGAAATAATTGCACCTCTAGAGCGCAAAAGAATTGCGCCCCCATAGAGCGCAAGTAATTGCACCCTGGAGCACAAATAATTGCGCCCTGGACTGCAAAAGAATTGCGCCCCCCATGGAGTGCAAAAGAATTGCACCTCTCATGGAGCGCAAAAGAATTGCACAGGTTGGGACTCGCCAATGAGACCAATGGGCACAGTGCATGGGTGCCATAAACCTCTGCCAAAGTGGGCTGACCCATTGTATGAGGGGCTTTTTTTCATGCTGCCCATCCATGGTGAAAAATTCACCTGTTGTTGCCTGCAGGCGCAACAACGAGGCTGCTGTCAACACATTTAAATACTTACTTCACATACAACAGGTTAATAATATATCTATTTAACTTTCTCCTGTGTGGTCCCCCACAGTGGTACTAACGAGGCAGCACTCTGGTTAACTGCCTGAAAGAACAATGGGATCCGTGCATTGGGCGCAACCCATGGGCGCCAGAGGCAAAGTGGGCCGATCTGTCCTCTATGGGGCTCTGTTCGTGCGGCCCACCCATGTCGCATGCCTATTTTAGAGTCTCGCCCAGTCATTC